CACTACCTGGCTGAGTATTAGAGGCATCGTGTACTCAAAGCTGGAAACCTGCTGGTTCCAGACATCTCACTGCAATCCCCAGCTGACCACTAAGCTAACTGAGCAGATACCTCAGTGACCACAAACAATAAAAAATACAGAGTTTAAAAAATACAGAGTTTAAAGAATTTGTTCAGAAAAGTAACTAAATAGACAACATTCCCTGGCGAGGGGAAGAGGGGCCCAATTTCCAGAGTTGCTATGTTGTTATTTAAATGTCCAGTTTTAGAAAAATTGCAAGACCTAAAACAGAAGAACACACCACATGTGGGGTGGGGGTGTGGTGGAGCAGTCATAGAATCTGTCTCTGGACCTGCTACAAAAGGACTTGAAGTGAGCTATCTTAGGCGTGTCCAGGAATGGGCTCCGTCCTGGCGGCCTGGGCGAGATCAGATAAGACAGGTCTGTGCCTGGGATTCCCCAGGGAACCAGCAGACAGGACAAATAACCACACTTCGTGGGGAAAGGGGCTGCTCCCTGGGTGCTGCCGCCTCTGATGGCCGCCAGGCAGGCAGCTGCCTTGATCCTGACTGGGACTCTTGGTTTCCAGTCAACCATGTTGCTGAGCGTGGGGAGGGGGGCAGGGGAAGTCAAAACACCATGAAAGGTGCTGTTTTTATGGCCACTCAGCCATCCGTCTCAAGTAAATGCATATTTGATTGCCTTAGGTTCACTTGAGAGTTCTGAAACATTTGGTCCAGACTAATTTTTGCCAGTGTTCTTGTTGCTTTTATGGAAGCGGTCTTTGCCATTTTTTTTTTTTAGATTTATTTATTTATTCGTACAGAACTAGGGTACAGGCCAGAGATGCCAAGGGTGACAGAATTCACCAGGAACAGAGTGGGGAGCAGAACAGGCAGATCGACAAAGTACACTGCTGAGGGGAGCAGCGGGCGGGTCAGGAGAGGTCTGCCGCGCCATGTGGTCACCTCCAGGGCAGGCGGGGATGGAACTCTTGAGGAAGTGGCTTTCGATTCTCAGTGCTGTGCTTTGACCTGCTGCGCCACCAGGGAGGGCCAGGTCTTTGCCATTTTTACTGATGTGCTCCACCTTGTAATTCTGTGCAAGTTCAGAGTGTTGTCTTACATTGTCAGGAGTTAATATTCATATATATAGAGATATAGATATAGATATATAATTTCCATAACTAGCTACTAGGGAAACTTGTGTTTTTTATGTTTTCTAGTACTTCAAAGTTGTTCTGGTAAGATTAATGGGAAAATTAACTCATGTGATTTTTTTAAAAGATTTTGTATCATGAGATGTATTCATATTGGGAAGACCTAATTCTTCCAAGTGAATAAACTCATGAGCCAAGATCTTCTAAAGGACCAAAATACATGAGACCATGGGTGGGGGCTAACGGAGGTGGTGGGGGGTGGGAGGAAGATGCTTGTAAAATGCAATATAGACCAGATAATAATAAGTATAAAACAATAAGTATAATAAGTATACTTAGTAAGTATAAAAAGTTCATTGATATGGATTTATATTCCACACTGCAACTAAGTTATTACAGAATATCAAATTATTATCCGCAATCACAGGAAAACTATTGCAATCCTCCTTCCTTTTCCAGCTATTTCTCTATACGAGACCAGGTTTCCTTGAGCAACTTCAACCCAATGACATGTTGAGTGCAGGAACAGATACAACACGCTCCCGTCAGCTCGTAAGCCTCCAGCCATATGGAAAAATGTGAAATAATACCGGTCTTACGAAATTTTACTTTGTTTTGCAAAACTATAGGTATTTTTCATGAACATAGTTGAGAATATGCAATGAGTTCCTTTTTGTTCTTTGAAAGTGAATAAAAAACTTTAAATTTTTTCTCAGTTTTGATTTTCACAAGGCAAATAGTGGCAGCTCTGACTCCCTGAACAACTCATTATTGTAGTCCACAGTTACTCTTGAGAGTCTGAAGTGGTTCTGCAGCCAAAATGATTTGAGAGATTCTGCATTAGGTCATCCGAGGGGGTCAATGGCAGAGAAAGTCCCATTCACTGAAGGCCACCCTACCTCTTTGTTCAGGCGTGATTCATCTACAAAGCACCTGGAGTAGTCAGCAAGACTTTCGCAGGAGGTTGGAAGAAGGTGGCTGCTTCCTTCAGCCAAAGAGAAGATATGCAAGGAGGGAGCTCAATTAATTGTTCAGGGGATTCTTGGGGAATGGTTCGGCATTCCTGTCCCATCTCTGTGGGGCTCTCCCATCACTCTGCCTGCACCGCACAGGCGCTAAGACCTGACTGCTCTAGGCTGCCCAGCCTCTAGCATTTAAGTAAGTGTTTGCTTTGAAATCCCCTTACCCTTCTGGTTGTACCTTTCCTGGTTCGGGCCAACCAGGTTGTTGGAAAATTTTCTTTTACCTCCCTGAGTCGATTGTTAGTGTTTTGGGGCAGATATGACATCCATGATTGCCTTATATCACTTCCTCTGCATTTAACAGCATATGCACACCAGACACACAGACATAGGCTCGCAAGTCACACAGGTGAGCAATCAAGGGGGAGACTTAGCACAGAAACACTCTGCAAAAACCACCTCTCTACACTCTGCCATTTTCTCTCTCTGAATGTTGATTACCTAACAGGACATAGGGTCAGAAGCTCTGGTTTCTTATCCTACTCTACCACTTACTAGCTTTGTTCTTCTGGGAAAACCATTTAATCCTTGGGACCCTCAGTTTTGCACACACAGAGCAACTGGCACACTATTTAGCAGAGGAGGCATTTAACCAACACGGGCTCCTTGCTGGCCCCCACTGCCTTCCTTAGGATGCTTAGCAATAACAACACAGGTGATGTCACCGCAGTGGTCTGTGGTGACATCACCTGTGTTGTTATTGCTAAGCATCCCAGTTAACTGTAACAGATACTCATTAACCAGTTAGAACAGAATCCAACTTAATCCAGCTCCTTTTCTCACCAGTGTACTTGATGATAAGACCTCCAACTCCTGTTCCACAAAAGCTTACTTCACTCAATCAGAACATTTTCCCATTGGCTTATCTACTCATTCAGAAGTTTAATCTATTTAACCCGATTCTTTTCTTCATATTTCTCAAAAATCCTTTGTCTCTCCTCCTTGATCCTGAGAACCATCACTGTTCCCTCCTGATTTCTTACCTAGTCTTTTGTGCCCTGCAGTCTTTCCCCTCCTCTCCTTTTCTCTTCTTCCCATGTCAGGCTGCACTAGTCATGGTACCAGCTGGATAGGTGGTTCCTGTGATGGAGGGCTTGTGGCTGGGTAGCTCAAGAAATCTGAAATACCTGTGAGTTTTCAACAGCCTTGATGCTCTTTCATGCCCCTTGTCAACTCATACTAACTGAGATCAATCTCCAAGAAGTAATCAGAGGAGACATGAAGGGAATGACATAAGCACTGTGAAACTCAAACTACATCTCCTTTTTCACTCCTCTTGTGGCTTTAATTGAGGGGCTGTAATCACCATTGATAATGAGCGGGAGGAGAAGGTCTCTACGCATCAGTCAAGAGCAATTTGTAGCAGAATATGTTTGGGATCTTTCAAAGTAGAGTCTCAGGCCCTTGACCCACAGATTCTGACTCAAGACTTGTACCTGGGGTGCTCTGATCATCTCTTGCACTGCCCTGGAGAGCCAGTGGCAATCCAGTGGTTACATGTCCACATTCTTGTTGCATAGAAGCGGCATAAAGCCCTTCACATCTACCTTCTCATTTGAACCACAGAATAATCTTATGAAATTGACAGGAGCAATATGTACCCCAGAAAAGTGTCCTAAATTGCAGTCTCCCCATGCCATCAGATCAAGCTCTCTTCAGTTACATCTGGGCAGCTTGTTTTGGATCCAAGTCACTGACAAAATAAGGTATTAATGTCATGGATCAGCCTGTGATTTTCAAAACCATGCCTGTGTCATCGAACACCCCACCCAGACTGAGAGCACGTGACCACATATGAACTTGGGGAGACCAAGAGGTCTCCCCAGTCAGGAAGACAGGATGAGGAAGACTATGTCCAAGGCTGTGAGACTCTGACACAGGGCCTCCTGGGTTGGATTCTTATGCACATTTTACACAGATAAGTCACTGAAGACCTAAGCATCGCCAGACCTACCACACTAGCCTTCTAAAAATGGTTGTTGACTTCTGAGCTGGGCAACTCAGAGAGTGAGTTATGCCAGGTTACAATTGCAGTGAGGCCCAATGCAGTGAGTGCACATTATTAATCACATGGAACACATTTTTTTACTGGGACTACAGAGCCTTAAGTAGGTTTCTAATGAGAAATTTCAGCACAGTCTGGAGTGGAATGCTGGGAGCTCTGCCCCCCCGGAACAGGGAGAGCAGGTGTGATGTGAGCCAGAATTCGGTTCCTTCTGGGTCAAAGCCAAACACCTGGCTTGGTCTATGTTCGGCACAATGGCATGTGGGCACGTCTTTCCAGCCAGGGGGGCTCATGGGCTGTGGTTTGGACCTTACAGTCTTGTTAAATTAAAGAGGAAATCACGCTCTTCTTCATACATGCAAATCACGTATACTCTTTTGATAGCCTCCTGGCAAGACCCAGGCCCTCTTAGTATGGTCTGGGGAATGATTGCTTATCCTGGTGGACTACAGGATGTGAAATACTTTAGTTATTTGCATCGGATGGCTCATTCCAGAAAATAATGCTTTTTCAAATTCTTATAAAAATGACTTGAAAAGAGAGAGGAAGGAATGAGGATACAAGAGGTTTCCCAGTCATCTAAGTAATTCTTAGCATTTTCAATTTGGGGTAAGATTTGGAGAGGCTTAAGGGAAATGCTTGTTCCCAGCCCACTGGGCACAGGAGGCAGAGTCCAGCACCCACACCCCTCCAGGCACCCCACAGAGCTCCCTGCTGGCACGAGGAGAGCTGTGCTCATTTTCTCATAATGGGAGACAGGTTGGCATTCTTGTTCAAACTTGGGGAACTTACCTGTATATTCTCTTCATCCTAGCTGCACCCCCAAAGACGCTGCTGTTTATCAAGTCTCTGCTAAAAACTGTTTCGGAATGATCTGCTCTTCTGCATCCATTGAAATCGAGGGCTTCTCCCAAAAGCCACAATGCTGCTCCACCCTGAAAGGCGATGGGGACACAGGTCATCTCCATGCAACAGAGACACATGAGCAGGAGAACACAAATCAAACGGATGGAAAAGAACAGCCCTATAAGGAAGAAGAAAGCGCCTCCTTGGGGACTGCCCTGTCAGCTGACTCCCCCTCCTCCAGATGCGAAGGGCTGTGCTCTGGCGGGTCACTGGCCAGCAGCGACATCACAGTACCCAGCGCAGAAAATCCCTTGGGTGGTGGAGGAAGGAGGCGCGCGGAAGAGGCATCACAGCCGAATACCAGCGAGGAAACTGCAGATGGGCTTCTTTGCCCCAGTTCAAGTAATAGTTCCCATGAACAAGAGGCGTGTGGGCCCAGGAATGTGGGCTCCCAGGGGTCAAGGTCAAAAGAGGGAGCCTTGAGAGCAGATGGCCTTGCGGGTGCAGCCGTAAACGCCTGTCCTCCACACGCCACAGCACAGAAGTACATTGGCATCAGCTTGCCGCTGTGGGGGGCGGCCGGAGCCTCCCCCACAGGTGGCTGGGCGAGGAGCCACACGCCAGGGGGCCCACAGACCTCCAGCGAAGACTCTGACAGCGACTATGAACTTTGCCCAGAGATCACCCTCACCTACACCGAGGAGTTTTCAGATGATGACCTGGAGTATCTGGAATGTTCCGATGTTATGACGGATTACGCTAATGCGCTCTGGCAGAAGGACCTGCAGGGGACTCAGTGTGTTTTTTTATTAGAAAGCGATGACGAAGACATGGAATCCGGCGAGTGCTGCCTGGGTGGGTGTGAGCACTCTCTCCGTGAAATGGGTTGTGGGTCTCGGGTGTCGGGTGACACTAGACGTATGGAGGCCACCACTGGCTTCTGCCATCATCACTCACAACCCCACGGCGTGGGGGTGAGGCGCGCTCCAGCCTCCACCCACAGTCCCTCATCTCCGCAAACAGAGATGACTCTCACGTTGGAACCTCCCCAGGATGGAACGGCCACGGTGACTGACCGGGAGACATATAAGCTACCCACTGCTCCTGAAGCTGTGGAAAATGGTTATCCAGGAATTCAAGGAGAAACCAGAGACAGCCACCCGGCTGGAGAGGAATTCGCTTGTGACAATCTGCTGAACGTGGAGGAAGCCGTCAGGGGGAGAGAGATGCGGCGCTCGTCTGGACAATCAGAGCAGGCAGCGGGTGGCGCAGCCCAGACAAGAATCGGGGGAAAGGACTTACCGAGCAGGAGGGGCTCTGAGAAAACCACCTCGGTGAGGCGACCAGGAATGAAGGGAAAACCTAAGAAACTGAAAAACAGTGCAGCTGAAGGTTCCCCTAACCTCCTGTACCCCAAAGGACCTGTTAAGCACACACAAGCCCCGAGTGACCCGAGAGAGAGTCCTCACACCAGAGCAGAAGCCACCGACCTGAATTCGCAGGTCCCCGCGGGAGGATTTGCTATTTCAACCCAAGCAGAACAAGAAGCAACACACCTGCAAACTCCGTCAGACTCGTGCCCCCAAGATGGGGACTTCTCGTACTTGGAGGGTGAAGGGGGACAGGTGAACAACCTGTTTGAAACGAGCCAGGTTCCAGACGAGAGTGACCATCCTCAGGTAAGACTCTTCTTTTTAAAAAATATCTGCACCATGAAAAAGGTGTGTGTGTGGGGGGGGGGGGCGCGTTTCCTGTTGCTTCTCATTAACGATTGCTCTACTACAATGTATATCAAAATCAGGTTCCCAACACACCCCACTACTTGTGAATAACAGCTGCTGCTGTTAGGAAGGAAATCTGGTTTTGAAAAAAAGCCCAGATAAACCCTAAGCCATCCTAATTATAGCAAAAGACAGATAGAAGTAAGAGGCTCTAATGGGATTCTGGACAGCTGGAAAAAGAAATCTGATATTTCGTCTACTGCTTGGGTTTTAACTAGGCAGTGTCACTATTCAGAAAGATTTTTCAGCAAATGTTTTGGGTGCATATTTGAAAGAAACAAGACTAAGATTGTTTTTAGTCATTTTCAGAGGCACTTTGAAACGGTTTTAAGTGTTGCCTTTCATCAGAATTCATTGTCCAGGTGAAAGACTCCTAAGTGTCAGAATGTGTAAAATTCACTTCAAGATGCCAGAGAAAGCAGACGAAGTTTTTGTTGTGCCAGTGGGATGTTTTTGATCGGATGTTTGCTTAATTTTGTTTTTCTTAGATCACAAAGTATAGAAGAGGCTAAGGAAATGCCGCCATCTGTTTTACCTTATTATTGACTTGGGGGTGTATTGAAAGAGATGGGATCAAATTCATGGGAATAACTAATACACAAAGAATGTTGTGCCTGACCTATGAATTGATTGTATTTTAATTAAATATTGATTTTTTTCATTTAAAATTGGACTTTGACCCGATGCTATACTAGGGTTAAGGTTTGATTTTTGAAAAATAAATACCTAGGAAAATTTTATTGATTATTTTTACCATACTGTATATTCTCTTCCTCCACCTTTGTGCTGTGAACCTGGTATTGTTTTATAGGAACTAGATGTACTCCACAGAAAATAAAATATTCCCCAAAGGATTCAAAGTTATTGAACTCTCCCTATGAAAAAGAATCAAATGCACTGATTTCTGAGCCCTAATCACAAAATAACCGATCTAAAAATCTCCAGATTTGTGGTAGCTTTCTCTGAGCAAACTGTCCTCTTCCACAATTAGCCTCAATTAACCATGGAAGAACCACAGTTGTAGTTTACTTTCCGCAGGATGACAGCCAGCTTTCTCCAGTTTGGTTGTTTAACAAATAGCCCTGATCATGCCTCACTGATCAAAGGCATACATTTATGGAGGTGGTTTAGCTAAATGTTAATACCAAATTGAGTTACCATGTTCAATTTCCATGTCCATAACAGCATTTCCTTTTCTATTCTTGACACACTCGCTGACCCAGCCAAGTCCCTTTGCACAGTCGCTTATCCATTCTGAGCATGTCTCACTGGGCAAATCATAGTCATTATTGAGAGTCAGAGGTGAGTAAAGTGTGCAAAAAGGAGCAAGTGGGGGGAGGGGCTGCCCCAGCATCCCTTTTAGACCCTCCACTGGGGAGACAATTTCCAACCCCCTCCTGTCAAAAAAAAGAGAGAAACAAAAGGAAGGTTTCCCCGCCTCCCACTTCATCCTGAGTGGGGGCCCTACACTGAATCCTGAGATAGGGTGCCGGTGCCCAGCAAGGCACACTTGTTTCCTGGCAGTGCAGCTGGACATAATGGATGCAGCTGGGGCCACAGGGGTCAGTCCCGTGACCTCCTTGTCTCTACTGCAGTTCTCACGGGACGCACATGTTTGCACATTCACACACTTGTGGTCACACTCACCTCATCAGCTCCCAGCTCCAGCTCTGACCTGGGCCCGTGGCATGGCTGAGGCAATGGCCTCAGAACCATGAGGGCGACTGATGAGAAGGCTCGCGTCCTGCCCACAGTAGGGGCCGTCACTCACTTTGCTGTGCTCAGGAGCAGAGCTGACCTCTCCCAAGCAGAAACCTGACTCGAAGCTGTACATTCAAGTTCTGTGCAGCCTGACGTTAGAAATAGGATCTCTGGGTCTGTGCCATTTACTTTCCCTTGACCAGAGCAGGAACATTTTGCCTCTAGCACTGGCAGAATGGAGAGAGCAGATGCCCTGACCCAGGCAAAAATTTACTGTGACTGTAGATGTGTCTACACACATTGTGGTCAGGTCTACAGCTGGCTACATTTCACCACATGAGATGTGGGAGCATGGGGCCACAGAAGGCCACATCACACTTTTTATAACACTGTTAAAAAAAAAAAAAGATCGCTGAATCTCCTCATAGCTAAGTCAAAGATGTTTGGGATACTGAGGCTTATGGCAATGTAAAATGTGAAAGGGGTGAAAATCTGGGTGTGGGGGGGTCACAGTAAGACATTAACCTGATTCATTTACCTTACGTGTCTTTGTGGAAACAGAGAGCCACGACATATCTTTTGGAATTTTATTTTCAGCCATACATTGCTTTTAGCACTGACACTATAGCTTATCACCCATGATCACAAGGCGGCTCTCCTGTAACTACCTCCTGCCTTAGCTGACGTCTCAGGTGGGGCGATTATCTGTCTTCCTCCCCTGCTCTTACAGCACAGGACCATCTTGTGCCATTTTATCTGGAAATAGTACTTAGCCGGGGCTAGGATCGGAAAACCCCAGCTTTTCTTTACTTGTGGAAGATTCAAGAGTTAATCCCAGTTTCAGAGTGGAAAAGAGAGAGGCTAACTTGAATTGCCTTCAAGGGTCACGCTGCCAAACCTTCACTTTGTGTTTATTCTTGGTCTCCTCATCCAACTGACAGGCTGGCCTGAAAGCTGCCCAGCTTAAGTCTACCTGGAGCCTCACTGGGGAAACTTAAACCACAGTGCTGTGTCTGTCCTTCTGTGTGGGTGCTCAGTTTCACCCCGGGGAGAGTTGCGTTTCCCTTTGGGAAATCTCATGGGATCTTGAGTGTACAGTATGGAAATGCAATCTTAGGTTCCGAAAGTCAAGAATCTTCCTGACTAGGAATCAGCATGAAGCAGGAAGGTGAGCTCCTTGCCGGGAGGGGCTCTGGCCCCGAATGGTTAAGAATGGTGCTCCATTGAAGTCCAGAGTAGAGCAACCCTTGGGTGTGCCTGTCATTGCTCATCTTCACCACGTTGTGGCCTTTGCTGTCATAAACAGTCTTCGCTTCCTTCACATAAAAGGCAACCATGCTGCTGACTGTCCATAAAGAAATGCTCCCCACTTTAGCCCGGGAATGGCCCGACCCCGCACTTGGGGTTGTGAATGCTGGTGATGCACACAACCTTGCTCTTCCCAGTGATTGTTGACTCTCCAAATTGCTAACTCCATCAGGAAGATCTAATCACCCCCCTCCCAGCTACCCCTTGCATTCAAAGACCTTCCTCACTGTTGCCTCCATCCGGCCCTAGGACAAAGCAGGCAGACCGGGGAGCCCTCCTCATCTGGAAAACAGCTGTTCTGTTCCATGCAGTTCCATGCTGAGCTTGTCCTCGTTGGCTTGTCTGAGGCTCAGCTGGCATGCGCCCTTGGGACGGATCCTATCAGGCCCTTCAAGCCACACCCCTTCTCCTCCCAGGGTTGCTTTTTCTCATCCTTATCTGGGATTTCTCCTGCCAGGGGAACACAGAGTTCTTGACCACATTAATTGTGGGCGTTGCGGGCTCCTGGCTTGAGTTGTACTTCTTGCCTATGGCTCTCTGACTGCGGCCCGGGGAAATCTGATTAAGCACTAGTTTCCTCATCTAAATCAGAAAAAGCAGCCATCATCATCATCATCACAGTTGTGAGGTTCAAGTCTCGCAGGTTAGAAGCCCATTAAAGTAACTATGAGGCAGTTAACTGAATAAGTGCTAGCTTTATCATTTTAACATTGTTTGTCACGTACCTACTCAATCCATGTGTCCTTTCCATAATTATTAAGCCCTTGCTTAGAAAATTGAAAGTAGCCTGCACATTGATTAATCAACAAGTTATTAAAATGATTCTGATAGACCCATCGACAGTCAGATTTTTACAGGCATTTAATAATTTGGGAATGTGGCCAAGAAGTGATATTCAAGAAAATGGTAGATGGGAAAATTGGCAGCTAGGTTGTGGGCCAAATTGTGCATGTGAGGGGATATTTTTCTTCTGGGCATTGGAAGATGGTTGATCAAACTACTGTCTTTTTTTTTTTTTTTTAAAGATTTATTTAATTACGCTTATAGAACTGGGATACAGGCCAGTGGTGTGGTGGGTGAGAGAGGATTCACCAGAAGACAGAGAGGGGAGCAGAACAGGAAGATCGATGAAGTACACTGCTGAGGGGAGCAGTGGTCAGGTCAGGAGAGGTCTGCCGCGCCATGTGGGTCAGCTCCCTGGCCCAGGATCGAACTCATGCTGCAGTTGCTTCAGAGAGTTTCAATAATGCGGTGCTTTAACTCGTTGCGCCACCAGGGAGAGCCCCAAACCATTGTCTTTAAAAAAAAAATTAAATTTGTTTATTTTCTTACATCATCGCTCATTTTTGCAAACCACTGTCTTTAAGAAGATTCTGAATCAGGTGTTTTTGTAACTGTGTACGTTACCCTCTAGGCCTCTTTCCCTTTGAAAATGGGATGCTCGCTTTTTTTCCAATTAAACAACAGAAGTGATTGAGATAACTAGAGTGAAAACACACATATGTCCTTTGTCCTCATGTTCAAGGCTCACTGAAGGTTGGCAAGTGTCTTGATAGCATTTTATGGAAAATCGTGTTGCAGTCATTGTACTTGCTCATGCAGTTGTAAGAAATGAAACAGAGACCCCTGGCCCAGGTTCCCCCAGGGGAACATTTTGCAAAACTAGCATAACATCAGAGCCAAGCTGTTGACAGAGTAGTATCCACTGACCGTATTCACATGACCCCACTTGGGAGCGAGCACGTTGCATGGGCCAGCACATGTGCCGTAAGATCTATGGAATTGTATCTGCTGTGTGGGTTTGTGTGACAAACGAGACTTCAGCTACGTGGTGTGTGATAAATGTGCTATGAAACTTCGTGTTAATCTAGATCAACCTCGTAGCGAGG